TCGGCAGCAGAGTCCTGGTGGGCGGGGCCAGGTCAGTGGGAGCCGGGCTGGAGGCCGGACCCCCGCCCCCCGCCCCCCAAGAAGGCTGCGGAGGCCCAGACTCCGGGGTCCTGGGGGGTCAGGGTGCAAGGCTCCTGGACCCTAGGGGAAGGGGGCTGAGGGCCCAGACTGCACAGTCCTCGGAGAGGAGACCAGAGGCCCAGACTCTAGTGTCTGGGGGCCTGGATTCCTGGGACCCGAGGGAGGAGGGGGACGGAGGGCCCGGGAGGGTCTCGATCAGGGGGGCTACAGCCGGCCTGCTCACGTAGCGCTCAGCCCTTCCGCCTCGGCATCCTTCTGCTGGTCCTTCTCGGCTGCCATGTCTGCGTTGTGAAGGGTAGAACCGCTGTAACGAGTCCTGGGTCCTGCGGACCCCGCCGGCCCCTCGGGAGCCGGGCCCCACCCAGCAGAGCCTACGTGGCGCCGTTCGGAACTGGAGTTCTGTCGCTAAGCATTGTGGGAGTTGTAGTTCTGTTGGTGTCGGGGAGGGTGGGCGCCATGATGGTGGTCCCAAAACATCTTGGGAAATGTAGTCGTGTAACGTGACGCCGAGCGCCTCTGGGCATTGTGGGAGTTGTAGTTCCAGAAGGCGGGCGTGTGGCGTCGGGGAGATTGTCACTAGTGGCCATTAAGGGAGCTCTAAGGCAGAAGCGGGTGCTATGTACAATGGGGACCGTGAGCGCTGTCGTTCTGACTCTAGAGGGCATACGAAACACTTGGAGACTTCATAAAAACACTGATTCAGCCGATCTGGGGTGAGGCCCATTTATCTGATTTTTACAAGTTCTTAAGACTTAGGTGATGCTGATGTTACTGGTGCATGGACCGCAATTTGAACAGTGAGACTGTAGAGAATTCATGGGAATCTTATTACTTCCTTCCTCAAGAGGCAGAGACTAGTGAGAGGGCCATGGTTGCTGGAAGGAGTATTTGAGGTGGGAAGCAAAACTTCCCCCACCACCCTTTGGGCTCCCAGAGATGAATGGTTTAGGACTAGGAATCTAGAGACACCCCCTCCACCACCACCACCCTCCCTGAGTAGGAAGAGGGAAGTTGGGAAAGGGAAGAGGTTGAAATTTTTAAAAAGGGAGTTGTTATAACCAAAAGAGCTGAGTGAGAGGTGAAAATCAGGTTGTGTTGACCTCATCAGCTCCCTGAACCTCAGTGCATTCACCTGGACAATGAGGATCCTGACAGTACCCGCACCCAACGGGGTTGTGATAATTCAGTTACATGGTCCATGTAAAGTGTTTGAGTCTTGACACTTAGTTCAGTAAATGGTAGGGGATGTTATTGCTACTATAGCATCACGCATGTTATGATTATGTCTAGAGTTCAGCCTTCTCAAATTTAACAGTAAGATATTAAGGGCTGTGGGCCCCTTGGATATCCCAAAACCTGAGACCTGGACCTTTCTTTTCCCTAGTTCCCACATCCGTGTCTCTCTCAGTCTTTGCCCCTACCCTGCCTCTGAGTGAGTTGTGGGAAAATGACTGGCATTCTAAAGGGTGCACAAAACAGCCTCAGAATGTGTGTGAAGTGTCAGGAAGCCTAGACTGAGGCCTCATTTTCCAAGGCTGGATTCCCACGTGGGATATCCAGGTGACTCTTAACCCCAATTCTTGTTTTCCAAGGTCCACATCCCTTTTGGGTTTGGGCTTTGAGGTGGCAAAGAGCCAGTCAGCTGGGGAATAAGACACAAACTTCACAGGATCAACGTGGCATGGGTACAGGGAGATCTGGGGAGGCAGGAAGTGATTGCACCCTAAGGCAGTGATGGCGAACCTATGACACGCATGTCAGAGGTGACACATATGATTCATAACAGTAGCAACATTACAGTTATGAAGTAGCAACGAAAATAATTTTATGGTTGGGGGTCACCACAACATGAACTGTATTAAAGGGCCAGAAGGTTGAGAACCACTGCTCTAGAGCTTGCTCTAGATCAGTGATGGCGAACCTATGACACGCGTGTCAGAGGTGACACGCGAACTCATTTTTTTGGTTGATTTTTCTTTGTTAAATGGCATTTAAATATATAAAATAAATATCAAAAATATAAATCTTTGTTTTACTATGGTTGCAAATATCAAAACATTTCTATATGTGACACGGCACTAGAGTTAAGTTAGGGTTTTTCAAAATGCTGACACGCCGAGCTCAAAAGGTTCGCCATCACTGCCCTAAGGGGACTCTACCCATGGTCTCACCCAGGAGGAGCTGGGAGAAGAGTGTTGGAGGGCACTCCCAGGAGATGGGGGACATCCTTCTGCCAAAGGGACTAGTGGAGCAATAGGGAGGCCCCTGAGGAGGGTCTTAACCTGAAGCTGAAGGAGCCACACTGTGAAGACCCGATTGGCTGTTACTGTTTATCAGCCCCAGCTTTGGGCCGAGTCTTGTTCAGGTTTTCCACTTGGCTTCAAGAAATCAAAGGAGGACAGTGAGTGCACACTTAGCCCAGAGTGTTAATGGGGCAGCAGCACCCGAGTTCAAAGCGGTGGGGGCAGCAGGGGTCACCAGTGAAAGAGCCCCCAAGAGGAAGATAATACCGGGGAGCAGAGAGTTGGAGGCAGAGGTCCAGAGTAGCTGCCTCCTCCCATGGCCAACCTGGGGAAACTTGGATTTGACTTTTGTTATGAGAGCTGTTGGGTGGCCTTACAGGAACTCAATGAAAGTGACTGTACTCCATAACCCACCAGTACTTGCTCTGAGCAGACATAATGGGCAGAGGCCTGAGGTGTTGAACACATGGGCCATGGACGGTGGTGGGGTCCAGAGGCCAGGACATTGTTGGCGAGGCCTTTAAGCAAGGCATGGGAGGAACTTTGAATCAAACTTTGAATCAAGGGTTTGGGGAGATGGGGCCTTGTCCCAGGGGCAGTGTGGAAGAGGAGACCCCTGAAACAGATATTGTGGGAGACGGGGCCCCAAGGCAGAGAGAGATATTGTGAAAGATGGGAGAATCCCTGAGACAAGGGGATAGTGGGAGATCGGGTCCTTGAGAGAGGGGGCCTATGGCAGGGGGCCCTGAATTAGGGGGATGGTGGGAGATGAGGGGGTTGCCTGAGAAGACTGTGGGAGGTGGGCCTTAGCCCCATATGCCTCTAGCGTGAGGTTTCCTTCCTGCCTCTTGGATCCTCCGAGGAAGAAGAGCTGGGAGGGTGAGAAGACCTTAGTACAGATAATCAGAAACCTGGGTTATATCCCTGTTGTGTGACCTCAAGGAAGTCCCTCCCCTCTCTGGGCCTCTGACTGCCCCCATCTCTGGGAGCATTTCTTACCTGGTACCTGATGAACAAAGTAGTTTCTGCAGCCTCCCTAGGAAAGGTCCAGGCTCATGCAACCCCCACCCCTCAGATTCAGGCACTCCTTCAGCATTGTTTTGTGCAGTGCACATGTGCACATACTCACTCACACTTGTGAGCTCTTAGCATCCTGGCCCCAGCCCGTCCTCTGACTCACACCTCCGGTCTGTGTTAGAAAGGCTGCCTCAGGGAAGTGGTATACCTGCTCAACCAGAATGGCTAAAATTCAAAAGACTGACTATATCAAGTGTTGACAAGGATGTGGAGCAAATGGAACTTTTATGCACTATTGGAATGCAAAATGATGCAAGAGCTTTGGGAAAGGTCTAGCTGTTTCAATTAAAGCTAAACAGAGTCTACACCATGACCAGTCGTCTCACTGCTATGCATGTACCCAATGTGTTAATACTAGAATGTTCCTATTCCTAGCAGCACCAATTACAATAGCCCTCAAAGTGTAAACAACCGACGAATGTCTATCAACAGAATAGACGGACACATTTTGTTACAGTCACACAGTGGAATACCACGTAGCAATGAAGAGTGGGCCACCAATTACATGCGACAATGTGGCATAAGGGATGATGCTCCAACCAACGGAGCCACACCGGCCTGTCGTACAGCGTGGATGTAATTTGTTACATTGTTGAGCTGTGCCTTTAAGATTTGTGCACTTCACTATATGAAAGTTTATCTCAATAAAAAGAGAGAGAGCCCTGGTCAGTGTGGCTTAGTTGGTTGGAGTGTCATCCCATACACCGAAAGGTGGCAGGTTCGATTCCCGATCAGGGCACATACCCAAGTTTTGGGTTTGATATTTGGTTGGGGCACTTACGGAAGGCAACCAATTGATGCTTCTCTCTCACACCGATGTTTCTCTCTCTCTCTCTCTCTCTCAAATCAATTTAAAAAGAGAGAAAAAATAGCACAGTGACTTAGAGCTTGGATAGCCTCTACAAATCTCAGATTTGTCTCCTCTCTGCTGTGTGACCTTGAGCAAGTCACTTTCCCTCTCTGTGCCTCATACCTGTGAGGATTAAATTTGTTTATATATGTAGAGTGCTTATAAGAGGGTAGAGCACAGAGTGGATGCTCAATGAATCACCACCATCACATCATCACGTTGTCACTGTCATTGCCTCCCTGGGGTCCTGTTCCAATATGAGAGGATCCGGAGTGTGATTCTCTTCCTCTCCCCTGTTCTGATCCATCCCACAATCCCATCGCCCATCGCCTGTCGCCGGTCGAATCCAAGCTACTTGCTTTCACTGTAACCCTGAGATCCTGTGACTCCCAAGCTGGAGCCAGTCCATGTTCCTGGCATTGTGTGAACCCCCCAGCCCGGTGTGCCGGCACAGGGGACGCCTTCCCGCCCCCTCTTCCAGCCCAGAAAGCAAGCACAACACACTCGTTTCTCTCTCCCCACTGATGTATTTGATAATTGTCCAGAACCAGAGATGGCATCAGCCAGGGTGGGGGACGCTGAGGGGGAGTAAAAAAGAGCCCAGGGAGGGGGCTGGGAAGTAGAGGTGAGGAGAGGGAGAGGAACAGAGACACAGAAAAGAGAGGAGAGA